CACGCGCACCCCTCCCCTCCACACATACACCCCCACACACACACACAAACAAACACACACACACTACACTCACAAGCACACACACACACACAAACACACACTACACACACACACACACACACACACACAAACACACACACTACACTACACACACGCACACACACACACACACACACACACAAGCACACACAAAATGCAGACTCACTCTCAATGCATGTGTGCAAATTATACGCGTATACTGTAAACGTATGTGTATGTGTGTGCTTATTTACATTCGTACACTCGAGAGTATTTTCCTCGCTGTTGCTCTTTCCGTTCCGCACCAACCAAAAGTTTTTACGCTTTTCAATGTCTAAAGACATTATTGTAACGGATCTTATTACACGTCTACAAACACACTTAGATCATTGAAAACATGAACGGACTGAGGTTCTGTCTTGTCCTTAAGGGCCAACCCCGCCTTACGAGACGTGTGCTTTTGTGGAAAGACGGTCGAGATACTCAACCACCTCTGGGATTCGAGCACACGTCTTTGGTGGGTTGAGCAAAAGGTCAAACAATTACACCAACCCCCCCCCCCAAAAAAAAAAACACCAAAAAAAACCACACAAAAAAACCGTTGGTCCTGGTTTTTGTTTTTGTTTTTGTTTATCGAAAGCGATTAAACAGTCCGGTACCACACTTCTTTTATCTCTTTCCAAACTCTAGACCTAGGCAGACTTCGGCACTTGATTACACATTGGAATATCATGTATCGGCATTAATAATTAATGTCTCCAAATCTACAGACTTTGGTCAACAACAACAACCAAGAGAAAGAAGTTCATAGTGAGTGACTTGTAAAGGACTGTTTAATCTTCCAAATGTATTTCCTGTGGGAGATCAGAGAGATGAATAATTCGTCACAGCTCGTGGAGGGATTTGAAGTTACTTTGAACTCTCGATTGCTGTTGGTTGTCCATCTTTCTTTTTTTTACGAAGTTCGCTCAAAGGCATCGTTTTAAAACGTATTTCTTTTCATCCCACATTTTGGAAGCGGCGTATATATATCTTTTTAAAAAGCCACATTCTCTTTAACGCTCCCACCCCTTACCCTAACCTAAGGTGTCTGTAATAAAAACTACTTCGATTGTCTGATGCAACTCATATTGTTTCCTCATTTATCACTAAACCTTTTCGAATGATCATCTTGAAATAGCTGACTCATCATCCTTTAGCTATGCCTTTCTTCCCATTTCACCCTCCCTCCCCAATCCTCCACGACTGAGCACTTGCAACACTTAAAGGTCATATTATATTCAGTACCGTAAAACAGATGTTACAAGAGAGAAACAAACACAAAAAAAGAAAGAGGGTAAATCAAGAATGTGGACGTTTGATAGGAAAAAAGGAGCAGAGCACATCAGGGCACCCACAAACTACCCACACGACTGAGACCTGCAAATATAAAATATACCAACCTATAGGCCTACGTGACATACAGAACACCCACCCAGAAGTAAGGACAGCTCACAAGAATCTTCAACTGTACTTATAAATTCCTCTTTCTTTCTTCATTAGAGGAGGAAGCAATGAGAAAACTGAGCACAAAAGACTTTGCGCGCGAGGACACTACAAATCGAAACAGAAGAACAATTTGTATTTATCAGGGATCAAACAGCTTCAACAAAGTCTGCCCGAGCATCCCATCTAAAAAGATGACAAAAACGCACACACATTAACGAAAATCACGCCAACTGTTACAAGGAAAACCTGATCTGCTGTACCCAGGATTAAATCACACCAACCCCCC